GTACCCCCTACCTTCTTTCCCCTTCCCAATCATCTGCCCCCCTTTAATTCTCCCTTTCGAACACGTTTCATTTCCACATTTTTCCAATGATAATAAAAAAAATATTAATTATTATTATGATTTGGAAAAAAAAAATTTTATACGTCATCGAGTACGATGATGATGATGATGATGATGATGTTTTAAGAATCGACGTTTTTCCTATTTTTTTTACCCCCTTCCCCTTCCCAATTCAATTTTTTCTTTTTACGGTCTTATTACGATTTTAATTCACCCTCAAAACGATTTCATTTTTTTTTATTTTTACAAAATTTATTTATTTACTGTCAGGATTTGTTGTGTTTTTAAAAGAGAAGGAAAAAGGGGTAAAATTTATATAATATTAAATAAGGGTTGAAAATCCAAGCGGGGAGTCTCGCTATTGTGGTTCTCGAGATAACAAAAAATAAAAAAAAATCTCTCGTAATATATTTTTTTTTTTTTTTTTTTTTTAATTAATGGATAAAAAAGACGAAACGATGGCGATGGCGATGGCGATGGCGATGATTATTATCATTATCATTATTATTATTATGAAAAAGGTACGTTTTTTTTTTTTGTTTTAGGCGCCGTTTTCACGACGAATCAAAAGGGCGGAAGTATCGAAATAGCATTTAAACATGCCGTACATAACATTAATAAAGAAAAAAATTTATTACCGAATACAAAACTCGTTTACGACTTGGCCTACGTGAATAATAATGATAGTTTTCACGCAATGAAAAAAGGTTTGAAGGGGTATACGAGGGGAGGGAGAGGGTAGGGGGTAAATAAAATATAAATAAATAAAAATTTTTTTTTTTTATAAAATGTTTCAACAGTCTGCAGACAAGTTAATAATTTAGGAGTCCGAGCCGTTTTCGGTCCGACGGATTCATTCATAGGAAATCACATACAATCGATATTCGATGCATTAGACATACCTCATTTGGAAACGAGATTAGATTTGGATAAGAAATCTAAAAGATTTTCAATTAATCTTCATCCCTCGCAAGAATTACTTAATAAAGCTTATTTGGATCTTGTCAAATTTTTAAATTGGACGCGAATCGCAATTGTTTACGAAGAAAATAACGGTGAGTATTCTGTTTTCCCCCTCCTCCTCCCCTTCCCTCCCCTTAATACATATACATTATTCCGCCATTTTTTTTTTTTTTTCATTCGTCGTTGCCAAAGTTAAAAATCCTTGAAAAAAAAATTTTTTTTTTTTTTTTTGTTATTTTAATAATAATTTTTATTTTTCGTCACTTCACTTGAATAAAAAAAAAAAAAAAGGAAAATCTAGAAAATTCAAAGAGTTTTTCTTTTTTTTTTTTTACTTTTTCCTCACTCATTTTATCTTTTTCTTCTTCTTCTTCTTATTCTTACTTTAAAGAAAAACTCGAGATGTGGTAATAAAAAGAAAGCAAAAAAAAAAAAAAAAAAGAAAAAAAAAATTACACTCAAAATATTCTAGAAAAAAATTACAAGGAAAAATGTCGTGATAATAATAATAATAAAATTTTCCCATTTTAATTTTCTTTTTTTTTTCGTTATTTTTCTTTTTCAGGTACGTTTTTTTTGTTTATTCGTAAATCAGATTGTTTAAAATATTTATATAAATTTTATTCTTCCAAAAGAATTTATTATTTTTATTATTATTATTATATTAATAATTAATATGTCGTCTGCTTTTATACTTAATTATTACCACAATATTATTATTATTATTATTATTTTCATTGTTTTTGTATTCTACCCCCTTTTCTCGAAATTTTTAATGTTTTTTTTTTTATGTTTTCATTATTATTATTTTTAACTCGAAAAAGGTTTAACGATATTTATTTTAATTATAATAATAATAATAATAATAATAATAATAATAAATTAATAAGGAAAAACAATTCTCGGTAATTATTTTTAACAATTCGTCGGTTTTATTTAAATAAATAAATAAATAAAAATAAAATTAATAAATGCGAATAAATTCGATCAATTAATAAAAATAACAACAACAAATGCGTCCTTCTAAATTTTTTAAATGGGGGAAAAAAAATAAACGTGACGTGTGTTTAGTGACGTGTCGAATTCCGATTGGTCGAAATTTTCCGGGTTTTTTTTCCCCTCCCAAACTAACCGAACTCGCACGAAATTAACCGGACGAAAAACGCGGTAAAAACGCAAAGAATAAAAATTATTACAACGATTTCATTTAAATCCCGTATTAATAATAATATTTATTATTATTATTATTATTATTATTATTATTATTGTTATTTTTCCAGGTTTTCCGCAATTTGATATTTTTTTAAAACCTGAAAACTTTTTTTTTTTTTTTTTTGTTTGAACGGATAAATATTAAATAACAAAGAGAAAAAAAAGAAAAAAAAAGAAAAGAAAAGAACAAACGAATGCCATAAAATAAAATTTGGCCAATTTGCGTGTTCGATAATAATCATTAATCGGTAAAAAAAATTAATAATAATAATAATAATAATAATAATAATGAATAATAATAATGATAATGATAATGATAATTTATTATTTATCAATCGTTCTCTCGTTCTTTTGTTACCGTTTGTTAGTTTTTTTAGCAGACGATAGTATTAATAGTAGTAATAATAATGATGATAATTTTAATAATAATAATAATAATATTAATAATAATAATAATAATGATAAAAGTTTAAAACAAAATGTATTTTCCGTGTTTTTATTTAGTTATCATTATTATTATTATTATTTTATTTAAACTGTTGAATGAAACGGGGTGGGGACATTTTAAAAACTTTTAATTTGTTAATAAAAAATATTCGTGACGCGTATTTAACATAAAAAAAAATTTTTAAAATTAAAAATGTCGTAAAACCTTAAAAATAAAAAATGAAAAAAAACAAAAAAAAATTTTCGGTGGGGGTCCGGAGGGGGGGGGTAGTCAAAGTTTTAAGGGAAAAAAAATTTTTTTTATTTTTTTATTTTTCTCCTTTTTTCTGCTTTCCTCCATTTAAATTTAAACATTAAAATTATCATTTAAAATGAATAAAATTAAAACTTTTCAAATTTTATTATCTTTCTCTCTCTCTCTTTCTTCCTCCCCTTCCTTCCCCTCCCTCTTCCCGTCCTCCCTCTTTCCCTTTCCTAACTATCTAAACTAACTCTTTAAAAACTTCATCCCTCCCTCCCCCGCCGTACCCGTACTCGTAGATAGATAGGATACAGTAATGTTGTTTTGGTTTTAAAAACCTTTTTAACATTCTATTATTATTATTATTATTATCATCATTATTATCATTATTATAAACTTTTCTTTTGGATAATTTTTAAAAAAAAAAAAAAAAAAAAAAAATTTAAAAAAAAAATTATAAAGATGCTTTTTCAAAAAGTTTTTCCTTTTAAACGTTTAAGATATTACTATTATTATTATCATGTTAAATGAAAAACGAGATCGTAAAAAGGTTTCACGTATTATTATTATTATTATTATTATTATTATTATTATTAATATTAATATTATTATTATTATTATTATTATTGTTATTACATTTATCGATAAAAATTTTCTTTCGTTAAGTACGTAACGGTAAATTTTGTTTTTCCTTTTTCATATATTTTCTTCTTTTTTTTTTATACCCGAAATGAATGAAATGGAAAAAAATATTAAAAAAAAGGCCTTTACGATGGGTACAATAATAATACTAATAATTTTATTTTCGTACGAGAAACGGAATCGGAAAAAAAAAAAGGAAAAAAAATTTCCCAATTGGAATATGTTAAATTTACACGAGAAAAATTTGTTTTTGCCAAAAAAAAAAATTTTCTTTTTTCTTTTTTTTTTGGGTTCTTTTTCCCTTTTATTTACCGCTCGTTTCCTCCCCGAATTTTTTTTTTTCCCTCCTTTCCGGTTTTTTATTTTCAATCGTTCGTTTCCTTTCGTTCGACCTACAAAACTCAAAAACTTTAAATTAAAAAAAAAAAAAAAAAAAAAAGAGAAAAAAAGAGAAAAAAGTTGAAATTTACAAAGATGATCTTCTTCTTTTTACTTAAATCCGGGGTATTAAACTACTTTAAAATAAAATTTTTTTTATTTCCATTCGTCACGTGGTGTTAGCAGAAGAAAAAAAACAATTTAAAAAATTTTTTTTTTTATTTTTTTTTTTTAAATTAAACGTCTCGCGATAAAAAACATAAAAAATTAAAATAATTTTCAACCGACAACGAGTCGATCGTGATGACGTTTTTGACGTCAACAAAACAATCAACCAATCAGATAATTTAAATAATTTAATTGGTTATAAATTAACCAATTAAAAAAATTTATGAATTAATCCGTTTGTTAATTAACCAATTAAAAAAATTATGTTCGCACACGTGACTTATTAAAAATTTTCCCGGGATTTTATTGTATCGAATTTTCCGCGTAAAATTTATAGTGGCCTATCTCTCTATGTTTGTACATTGATAACATTTTATTTTGTGACGTAATAATCCGCAATTTTCTCAATAAAAACAACAAACAAATGATTTGTTATCGTAGACATTTTGAAAAAGCACAATCACAGCAAAAAAAAAAAAAAAGAGCGGGAAATTTAAAAACCGTGACGTCACGACGGGAAAAAAAAATTTAGGAGGATTAAAAAATATGATGAAATTTTTTTAATTTTTTCAATTATTTTTCAGGTTTGGTTAAATTAAAAGAATTAATCGATGGAAAATCCATTGTATTGGATATTTACATGAGACAAATACAAAAGAATAATTACAGGGGGATCCTAAATGGGATTCGTAATCGGGATATACATAATATTATTATCGATATGAAATCGAATAATATTAAATTTTTTTTAAATGAAATTTTTTATTTAAAAATGAACGATATTAAGTATCATTACGTGTTCACTAATATTGTAAGTAAAAAAAAAAAAAAAAAAAGCATGTGCACGCAAAAACGTTTTATTTTTTTCTTCTATTTACACGTTCTATTTACACGTTTTTTTTCTTTCTTTTTTTTAAAAAATTTTAATTTGCATGTCCGGGATTCGCTTAAAAATGATTTAGTAAAAATGTCGCCGTGATTTGTTTGGTGATTTACGAAAAAAAACTATTTTATATTGCGGTTGTCGTTGTTATCGTTATCATTATCATCATTATTATTATTATTATTGACCCGACGGCAAAATAATATTTAACGTTTAAAAACAAAAATATTTATTTATTTTTTTATTTATTTTTATTGGTTTTTATCTATTTGTTTAATTTGCTCGATCGTTTCGTTAAAAATTTTTTTTTTTAGTTTTCCCGATGTCTTTTTCTTCCTCACCGCCACCCCCTCCCCTAACCAAACCTCCCCAATTTTTTTTTTCATTTTTCTATTATTGCATTACGAGTTTATAGGTTTTTTATTTTTTGTTGTTTGTACGACAGCAGCATGACTTTTCGTCTGTCAACTTTTTTTCTCAATTTTTTTTTTTTAAAAAACAATAACTTTCATCACTTTTCCCATCGTTATCGTCATCATTATTATCATTATTATTATTATTATTATTATTATCATTTTATCACATTTCTGACATTTTCATTTCGTAAATCTTGTATTTTACTCTTTTCTTTTTTTTTTGTTTTGTTTCTTGTGACGATTTATCATTTTCGATCGGAAAAAAATTAGAAACGGAAAAAAAAGATTTTTTTTTTTTTTTTTACCAAGTTAAATTTTTGCCCCCCACAAAAAAAAAAAAAAAAAAAAAAAGAAAGAAAAAATGTTGAAATTTATAGTTGAACAAAAAGAGAAAAAAAAATGGGGGTAATGAGTAAAAAAAAAAAAAAAAAAAAAAAAACGAAAGATAAAAACTTGAGATTTTTTAATAATAATATGAAAGGAGCTCATTATGACAAAAATTTTTTTTTTTATAAGCATTACGGATAATAAATGTCCATCCGGAGTCTCCCCTCCCCCCACTTTCATTTTGTCTCCATCCCCACTTCCACCACCACTACCGCCACAACGACCGCCATTTTGAAAAATTTAATCTTTCATTTTTTTTTTTATCCTTGGCATAATTTAAATATATTTAATAATAATAATAATAATAATAATAATAATAAT